TGGTGGTGGTGGAGGAGGAGGAGGAGGAGGCGGAGGAGGCGGAGGAGGCGGACCTGCTTCCGCTGAGTGACGGCCTCTCTCTCTCTCTCTAACTCCCTCGAGAGCTCCACTGCTCTTCCGCCTCTCTGCAATGCTTTTGGCGCGCTTTTCCGCACCGGCCAACGCGCCGTCAACAGTCGCGAGAGGGGAATTTCTTTGAATAGCATTGTTAGAGCGTGACTATCAACAAAACGTTGCGCATTTCGTTCATTTCGCCCACCTCACTCAGCTTTGTCGAGGGGTGATGAGCCATTTGACAGGTGATTCACATTGCGCCGAGCCTGCCTGCTGCGCAGTAGCTCAACTTCAACCGCCCTTCTCGAATGCCACTACCTCACGACAACCTCCATCGCCAACGCCTTCACATACGACCACACCCACACCCACACCGACACCGATCTAAAGACGCTCCGCTCGCCCCGGATCATCGTACCTCGTCAGGCAAGAGTGCCAGCGTTCAGCCACCGCTCGCGTCGCCACGCATGCCGCACAATCCCTCCCACACGCAGCGGCGTCGAAACAGGCATCAGGCCGGAGCCGCTGCCACGCCTCACCTCCGCCATCAACAGCAGCAACGACGTCAGCAACAGCAGACCGAGCCGCGCGCCCGCTGCACCAATTGCCTCGTCGAATATCCCCTGACCCGAAGATTCTTCTTGAGGGTCGATTGCAAGAGGGATGCTGACCGTCGTACCTGCTTGCCTTGCAGGACAGGTGCCATCGTCGACGAAACCGAGCTTCGACTGCTCCGCGACGAGCATCAAGAAGATCATGGGGACGACGTCATCCTGCCTGAGGATCTGGCGGACGACGAACGACTACACCGCGACTTTGAGGACCTCGGCGCAGAAGAGCGGCGATCCAAGCTGCATGCCTCTCGCCAGTTCGGAGGCCTGGTCATCAAACACCTCAGCGCCACCAAGCTCGCAGAGAGCCGCCTCCGCTTCCGTCGGCGCGTCCGGCCTGCGAGCGAGCTCATGCTCGAGCGCGAGATCCTCCGCTTCCGATGGCTCGCCGATCACTTGCCGCTGATGTCCCAAGACGACCGCCTCAAGCGAGAGCAGCGACTCGTCCAAATTCGGCCCGTCAACATTGCAGACATGCAGCTTGAGCCTGACCTCCTGCCGCACGCACAATTTCTGCTCTCGCTCGACCTCTCCGACACGTCGCATAGCGACAACATCGACGACGAGCTCGAGCGCGCCACCGAGCTGCTCGCACTCATGCGTCTGCCCGAGCGCGACGCCATCGAGCAGGCGCAGCTGATCCGCCAGCGCCAGCTCGTCAGCACGCACAATCGCAACCACCAACGCCACCAACGCCAAGTGGCGCACCAACTCGCTCAGCAAGACGGCGACCAGCTTGCCCAAATCTTCCAGCGCGGCCTCGCGCTCACCGACGACGACGACCGCCGCTCCTCGGAGCCCGCCAAAGCTCCGCCCACCTTTACCGCCGTCGCCAACTTGACCGCCGTCAAGGCGGAGCTCGCTGCCACCGCCACCTCGCTTCCGCCCGCAACCTCGGTCTCTGCCCGCACCGGCGCCGACTCACCCCCGACCCCGAGCCCGAGCCCGCGAGCCACCAAGCGCCCACGCAACCAGCGCGAGACGCCCGTCGACCCCCGTCTCGAGATGTTTGAGCGCAGACGCCAGCTTCTGCGTCTGCACAACGAATCAACTCAAACTCCCAAGCCGGCCTAGTCGCACTCGCTTGCATTTCAAACTTGGTGTTTCACGCAATGGCATTTCGTTCTCCGAGCACCGGCAGTAGTGCATGTGTCGGGCGCTCTCTCTCTCTCTATGCTACAAGACTTACTGCAGCGGCATGGAGCTCTCTTCGCACTTGAGCGTGTAGAAGCGCTTGGCAGCCTCGATGGCGTCGTCGAGCGCCTGGCCGCCCATCTCGCCCACGCCCTGGGCCGAGTCCTGCTTGCCGCCGCCCTTGCCGCCGACGTGCTGTGCCGACGTCTCAATCCACTCCTTGGCGTTGAGGCCCTTGCTCTGGTCGTGCTTGCTCACGTACGCCGCATGCACCACCTTGGCCTGCAGCGCGTTGCCCCCGGCCACCTTGGCGCCGTTCACGTCGAGCTCCTGCGAAAAGAGGTACGCCGTCTTGTCCATCTTCTTGAGCGTGTTCATGGCCGTCTGCAGCGCCTTCATGTTGGAGCCGACGTCAAACTTGTGGATGAAGCTCGTGGCGTTGGTATGCTCCTTGAAGTGCGCCTCCACCGCATCCACCACCGCCTTGGTGTCCGCCTTGTCCTTGGCCTTGAGCCCGGCGTCGAGCTTCTTACGGATGGCCGAGAAGCGCTCGTTGAGCGCAGCCTTGCGCACCACGCTCATGTCGAGCTGCGCGAGGTGCGTGCCGAACGCCTTGAGCGCAGCATCCTTGGCTGCCGCCTCGCCGATCGCGTCGATCTCGCCCAGGCGCGCCTCGGCCTCGTCCGCCACGCGGCTCACGCTCGCAGCCTCGTCGCCCGTCACGGCAATGATGCGACGGATGCCCTTGGCGATGCCCGACTCCTCGGTGATGACAAAGTCGCCGATCTCGCCCGTCTTGGCCACGTGCGTGCCGCCGCAGAACTCGACCGAGGTCGAGCGCCACCGCGGGTTCTCGAGGTCGCTGGCGATGGTGTCGAGGTCGTGCTCGAGCGTGACGACGCGGACGGGGTTGGGATAGGCCTCGCCAAACACGGCGCGCAGGCCGGGGATCTTCTGGGCCGTGTCGAGCTCCATCTCCTTGGAGAAGACGCCGACGTTGCGCTTGATCCAGTCGACCGAGATGTGCTCGATCTTCTTGAGCTCCTGCACGTTGACGCCCTGCTTGTGCGAAAAGTCGAATCGGAGCTTGGCGGGCGCGACGAGCGAGCCCTTCTGGTCAATGTGGTCGCCGAGCACCTCGCGCAGGCCAAAGTTGAGGATGTGGGTGGCGGTGTGGTTCGACTGGAGCGGAGCGCGGCGGCTCTGGTCGTACGAGACGGTGACCTTGTCGCCCAGCGCGAGCTCGCCACGCACGAGATGGCCAATGTGCAGCACGTAGCCCGAGAAGACCTGCGCATCCTCTACGACGAACTGCGACTTGCCGTCGATGGTGATGGAGCCGGTGTCGGCCTGCTGGCCACCGCTCTCGGCGTAGAGGCAGGTGTGGTCGAGCAGGATGCCAAAGTTCTTGGCGCGATCTGCGACCTTGGCGGTTTCGGGGAAGAAGGCGTGGTCCTGGTAGATGGCCTTGACGGTGGCGTCGACCGAGTTGAGGCTGTACTTGAAGTCGTCCTGCGTCTTGGGCACCGAGTCGTCCTTTTCGAGGTGGCCGAGGTCGTGCACGTCGAACTTGACGGCTTCGGCCTCGCTCTTCTTGCCGCCGGCCTTGGAGAGCTCCTTGGACTCGGCCTGGGCGGCCTCGAACTCCTTTTCGTTGACGCCGAGGCCGTGCTCTTCGGCCATGATGAGCGTGAGGTCGACGGGGAAGCCAAAGGTGTCGTAGAGCTTCCATACGTCTGCGCCGCTGAGCTGCTTGCTGCCGGCAGCTTTGGCCTTGGCGGCGTACTCTTCGAAGAGCTTCTCACCGCGGTCGAGGGTGCGTGCGAAGGAGGCCTCCTCCTCGTCGAGGATGGCCTTGACGTCGTCGATCTTCTTGGTGATCTCGGGGAAGAAGTGGCCCATCTGGTCTACGAGGGTGGGTACGAGCTGGGAGAAGAAGGATCCGATGGGGACCTGGAAGTACTTGCGCACGTAGCGGGTGCCGCGACGGAGGATGCGACGGAGGACGTAGCCGCGGCCGTCGCGGTCGGGGACGCCGCCGTCGGAGATGGCAAAGGTGAGGGTGCGGACGTGGTCCGCGACGACGCGGTAGGCGGTGTCGATGCCGTCGGTGTCTTGTGCGCCGAGCTTGCCAGTGTAGGCGCGCGCGCCGGTGAGCTGCTGGATCTTGGCAAAGATGGGGGTGAAGACGTCGGTGTCGTAGTTGGAGGGCTTGTCCTGGAGGATGGAGACGAGGCGCTCGAAGCCCATGCCGGTGTCGATGTGCTTTGCGGGGAGGGGCCGCAAGGAGCCGTCGTCCTCGCGGTTGAACTGCATAAAGACGTTGTTCCAGATCTCGATGACGTTGGGGTCGTCCATGTTGACGAGGTGTGCGGCGTTGCGGCCGCCGATCCTGTCGTAGTGGATCTCGGAGCAGGGGCCGCAGGGGCCGGTGGCGCCCATCTCCCAGAAGTTGTCCTTTGCGTCGCCGGTGAGGATGTGGTCGGCGTCGACGCCGACCTTGAGCCAGAGGTCGCGCGCCTCGGTGTCGGGTTCGAGGCCCTGCTTTGCGTCGCCCTCAAAGTAGGTGACGTAGAGGCGGTCCTTGGGGAGGCCGTAGACCTTGGTGAGGAGCTCCCATGCCATGGCGATGGCCTCGGGCTTGAAGTAGTCGCCGAAGGACCAGTTTCCGAGCATCTCGAAGAAGGTGTGGTGGTAGGTGTCCTTGCCGACGTCGTCGAGGTCGTTGTGCTTTCCGCCTGCACGGATGCACTTTTGGGAGTTGACGGCGCGCTTCATGGAGCCGAAGGCGGAGTTGGGGTCTGCGATGCCGAGGAAGATGGGCTTGTACTGGTTCATGCCTGCGTTGGCGAAGAGGAGCGTAGGGTCATCGTAGGGGATGGTGGAGGAGGAGGGCACAAAGGTGTGTTGGCGCTCCTTGAAGTATGCGGTGAAGGTGTCGCGCACCTTGGTGGCGGGCCAGTCGCCGAAGCGCGAGGTGGTGTCGGACATGGTGGAGAATGGGTGCACGCGATGAAGAGGAGGAGGAGGCTGAGCAGCGCGAAAGATGGGGATGGGGATGAGGGCAGGTTTAGGCGAGGGGCGAGTTTGCGATGCTGGAACGCGCGAGTGGTAGCACCTCTGCCAGAGGAAAAGCGAAGGGCTAGCTGTCGAAGTGCAAGACGGTGAGGAGCGGACGAGGCGAGTGACGAGCAGCGAAGGGGTGCTGGCCTTGTGCATCAACGATCTGCGGGGTGAGGATCGTTGTGGTGATGGTGGTGGTGGTCGGATTGCAACGCTCAGTCCAAGCTCGCACGGCCAAAGAAGCGTTGCAGCCTTGCGAGCCGCTCTGCATTTTCTTTCTTCCGTCTTCGGCCTGGAATGGAATGGGTGAAATTGGAGCTTCCGAGGCGCGCGTGTTGGTTGCGCACGAGTGACTCGCGAGGGATGCTTAGATAAGCATGACTACTAGCCTCTTATGCCAATGCCAACCCTTCCAACTCAGCCTCGAGCTCACACTGCTGCTCCGCTCAGAAGCCTCCTTCGAACGCAGTGGCTCAGCACAGGACAGCAGTAGGAGCAAGTGCGACTCTATTGCTATGGCTCGGGAGACGACTCGATAAGGATGGTTTCCTGCCACCTGGCACTTGTGTAGGCATCGTCGTCGTCGTCGCTGTCGACCATTACGATGGGCGCCGGCTGCCTCCCACCACGTTGTGCGCCGCCGTTCGCCGGGCCACCGCTCTCCGGCTTTGTCTCGTGTGGCAGGCTCGCGTCTCGCTCCGCTAATTGAGCCGCAGCCGCCTCGTCGACTCCGGCTTCGGCTTCGGCTTCGGCCTCCAGCGCGGCAAGCAGCATGCTCTCGTCCTCGTCCGGGCTGAAGCGATCTTGCGCTGCCGTAGTCGTGTGATTCGAGCCATTGCCGTCGTGCGCATGATTCGAGCTTGCTTGGGGCTTGCTCGGCATGCCGCGCTTTCTGCGAGGCGGACCCAACTGTGCTCGAAGCTTCGCAATCAGCTTTTCCTCGGCCACGGCCTGCTTTGCCGATACGCCGCCACCCTCCACGCTCACCGTCGCAGGAGTGAGGAGCAGATAGCCCTTGTTGACCTGCGCGCCCTTCAGCAGCAGCTTGCTGCCCATCTTGGTCGTGTTCATGTCCAGGCCACCGATGCGTTCCAGCTCGATCGCCCACACGTTGGCGCTGCTGCCGCCGTCCGAGAGCTCGAGTTTGAGCATGCGTCGCGGGTAGATCGTGTTGCACTGCGATTTGCCCTCCTCCTGCGCATCAAACGCAGCCATGGCGTCCGCCCCCGACGAAGATGAAGACGCAGACGCGGCAGGCTTGAGGCCAGCGTAGGCCTCGTTGGGATCCTTGTTGGAACGCCGCGCCTCGACGCGTGCCTCGGCGATCTCGAGCTGCGAGGCGGCGGAACAGCCAATGTCGATCATGCTCTCGATCTGCACGAGCACCGCTCCTCTGCCACCATCGCCCACCTTTCCATTCGCCGCTTGAAGCTTCTCGGGCGCGATGCGGCTGTATGACGGCACGACCACTTGCGCCAGGTCGGTCTCCAGCAGCCGTTGGCGCACCGAGCGTGCAAGCTGATCGTTCGATCCGCAACGCACAGCTGCGTCACCTTGGCACACGTCTGCGATGCATCGGTCGAGCCATCCAGGATCAACCTCGAGCGTCGGATAGCGGGCAGACAAAAGCCGCCTCACTGCCGCCAGTGCATCCGGATTGACAGCCATGTCGCCGGGCTGACTACATGTTGATGAGGAGCGGAAGATAGCTTTGCGGGAGCGGAAGCGCGCGTTTTGACTTTCTGGCTCCAACTACTCGAATTTTATTCTTTAAGCGTGCAGCAGACCAACACCCCAACACCTCCATCTCAGCCTCCCGACGCGTCCAACACCGACCACTTTACCACAGGCAGAGATATGAATGTAGTATGACATGCTGAAGAGGAAACATGAGCATGGATCTGTCCCATCGTTAAGGACTATTGCCGTGCAAGAATCAAAGCGGCGCGTCAGATCCGCCCGTGTCTCGGCGTGGTCTAGCTTTCTGCCTGTGCCTGCTTGGCGCGTGTAGCAGCATCATTGCGACGACGGTCGGGGCATCGGTCGATGCAGTGGCTGGGCAGCCACCACTCGAGCAGCTTGAGAAAGAGCATGTCGACTGCCACGATTATCACAAAGATCTTGCCCGCGATCGCGCCTCCCGCGTAGTATCGCGCCAATCGCTCCGACGGACGTGGCAAGCGATTCTGCATGGCATCCCCGTACACTTTCTCCAGCCGATGCGCCACCTGGGTCCATGAATACATCTGCTTGACCGCCGCGTGATACGCCAGCGCATCGTGCTTGCCCGCTCGGACGTGGGCAATGGCATCGTGCATCGCCTGCACCACATCGTCCTCCTCCGGTCGAGCCAGCCGGATCATTTGCGGCGGCAGCACTTCCGGAATGCCACCAACGCGAGTCGACACTACAAACAGCCCCGCGCACGCTGCCTCGATGATGCCCGTCCCAAACGCTTCCGTCAAGGATGTGTTGAGGAAGATCGAACCGCGCGTCAGGTGATCCCGCACCTCGCCCTGTCGCACCGCACCGCAGAGCTCCACCCGATCTTGCAGCAGATAACGCTCGCGCATCTGCTCCAGCTCCACCCGCTTCGGACCGTCGCCCCCTACATCATGCCCACCGTGCAGCGAGCCAAAGCAAAACAAGATCCAGTCAGCATCCGCATCGACTCGAACAGCCCGATCGACCCACCACTCCGCCGTCATCGAATGCACTCACCGATGAGAAAGTGCAGGTCCGGGTGCGCAGCACACAGCCTCGGAATCGCCGCGATCAGCAGATCGATCCCCTTGCGGTACATCAACCGGCTCAGAACCACCACGGTCAGCTTTCCCGACTCCAGTCGCGAGGCATCCGGCTCGAACTGCTCGGCGACCACCGCGTTCGGGATGACGGAAACCTTGCTCGGATCCAGATTCGCGCGCAGCGTTGTGTTCTCCTTGCCCGTGTGCGAGACGCACACCACGCCGTCGACGTCGCTCAGCGCGAAGCGCAGCAGCTTGTTCGTCAGGATCGACGCCGTGTCCGAGAATCCGAACAGACTGTGGTCCGTAAACACCGCGCGCAGCCCCATCGTACGCGCGTGCAAGATGCCCTCGTGCGCCATCGACGACAGCGCCTGATGCCCGTGCACAATCTCGATCTCCTCCCGGATCAGAATCGAGCGCAGCGCAGGAAACAGCGAGAAGAAGTTTGGCAGCGTGTCTTGTCGTGCGATCACCCCATAAGGTATGTGGTACACCTTGAGCCCGTTCGACAGATATCGTACCCCCACCCGGTCCGGCGCATAGGCGTGCGTGATTACAATCACCTGTTACACACGTCGAGCAAAGCAGAAACGGCGCGCATCTCTGTCGTCAGTGACACTCCAAAGACGCGCTCGCTTCAGCTCGAATCAACTCACTTTGTGACCCATGGACAGCAGCCGCCCTCCGAGAAAGTAGATGTGGCCTTCCACACCGCCGACGTTGGGATAGAAAAAGTCCGAAACCATGCTGGCCATCGCATGGTTCCACGGAAACCAACAGAATGCGACGTAGATCCAGCCAGCGAAGGACAGAAGTCGCGCATGGGTTTGCAGACAAAAAGTCAAAACGGGGCGAGGCGTGTCAGTCTCGAGATCGGCTGAAGGAGTTCGAAAAGGGCTATTACAAAGCAAAGCAAGCTACTACGAAAGGCCTCGAGCAATAGGCGAGCTTCGAGCGAGCAGAGGGGGTAGTGGGGTCACGGAGTCTGCTCACGCGATGTTGAAGCGGGGCTTGCTGCTCTCGTCCGCATTGCGCCTCGTAGCGTCGTCTTCCGATCGTGAGCCTCGCAGCGAGGACAGGTCGATACTGAGCGCGGATGCAATCGAGTCCGCGGCCTCTGTTGACTGCGCAGAGGAGCTGCCGCCGAGCGCCGTGTGCGTGAGCAGCAATTGCATCGCGAGCAAGTGCGATGCTACCTCGTTTCTCTTCAGACCCTTTGCCAGCGTGTCTTGGAGGCGGCAAAGGTCGCTGGCTGTGCGTTCCTTCCAGCTTGCACACTGAGCCGCTTTCAGCAGCTCAGGCCTCGCGTACTTGGCGGCAAGGCGAAGGAAGAGTTCCGGGTCCCGGAACTGATTCGGCTTCTCCTCGACGAACAGAAGCGTGTTGGCAGCAAATGCCTCGTCAAACATCTTGTCGACGACCTCTGCGTCCGGCGTCAAGTGCTGCCAGACGTACTTTGTCCACATCTCGGCGTCAGCAGAGCGCTTCGTATCGTAGAAGGCCGCCATCCAGCTCCAGGCTCGTTCAGTCGAGACGTTGGGGCCGGCACCGCCGCGTCGCGCCAGCTCTCGTATCGTGTCGTAGCTAGTGGGCGCACTATCCAACGATGCGCCGGTCACTGGAACGGCAGTAACGGTCTCGCCAATCAAGGCAGCAGCCTCGGCACGTACATCCTCGTCATCATCCGTCAGCAGTTGGATGGCCGCAATACGCGCCTGGAAGAGCGACGGGCCCATCCCCCCGTCTATCGGATCTACACCCTGTTGGTGGTTCAGAGCTGGGAACAGCAGCGAGCCCAGAACGCGCAGCGCCTGGCATGCGGCCTCGCGCGACTGTACGGAAGCCTCCTCGTTGGCGCACTCGGCGACCGTGCGACACCACGGCTGCAGCACGGATCGTACAGAGCTGTCTCCGACCCGGTCAGTCACCAACAGCTTGCACAAGTCAGAGAAGTAGGGCAGAAGCGCCTCCCTGAACGGTACGCATGTAGTCGTCGACGCAATCTCGGCGATCGAGGAAACCTCGCTGACCAACGCCTGGGCCGAAAAGGCATGCGAGAGCCAGGGCTTTCCGTCCGCGGCATTTCGCGTCGCAACTTCATGGAGCACGGCGGCGGAATGAAAGCGATGCCAGATCCCTTCGTCCTGATCCTGCACCACCGCATGCAGCCTGCGGATGAAGGCAACGAGCCGCTCAGGATGGACCAAAGATGACTTTTGCAGCGCCTCGATGCCGTCGTCACCAATGAGTGCCTCTAGCGAGCTGATCCGCACGTCATGCGAGCTGGACTTCAGCTGTCGTTCGCAAGCATCGATGAAAGCTGCGGGCGCCGTGTCGTGCGCTGCAATTTGCAACTGCAGTCGAGCACACGTTGAGGCCAGCTCCGGCCCACCGGGCGTGAAGCGAAGCTTCGCCAAGAACTCGGGACGTTCCAGATCGGACAGCGAGGTTGCGATCCAGATGCCGACGATGCGGAGCAGGTGTTGTCCGAGATTGCGGAAAGCGCAGTGCCGAATGCCGACGAAATCTTGAACCACTTCAAGATACGCCGTCTGTGTAACAGCACAGCGATTCAACTCCAGCAACAAGCTCGCCTTGTCGGTGATGGCCGTAGCGAGACTCGACATATCCGGAAAGATTGCCTCTGTTGCCACCTCAGCTTCTGCCACGCTTTGCAACAGACGTTGCACCAAGAGCAGCTTACCGTGCACCTCGTTTTGCGAGCGAAGATGGACGGAATCCAAAATCGAGGCTGCGTGCTGTGCCGCTCCGCGCAGAGGCACAAATGCGGCGTACGCTTTGACGGCCACTTGGCGCACTTTCCAAACCTTGTTGTCCAGGCACCTGGAGAGCAAGGCACGGTACTTGTCCATCCTTTGGGCCTCTCCCGGCCGCTGCGGCTCCTTTTCGGGAGCCTGCATGCGGCTGAAGAGCATGACCACCGCGAACAGACTCGAGGCAAGCCCTTCGTCATCAAGGCCGTCATGCGTCTGAGCTTCCGCAAGGACGCGTTGAAGGAAGGCGTCGAGGTCGGGGTAGGCTGCGAAGAATTCGTCGACGGGCGTGCGTGCCTCCTTGGTGTCCTTGTTGGTGTTGCGACTGCCGAAGATCTTGATGCTGAGAGAGGAGAAGAGCATCATGCTGACGTTGCGCAGCCCCCAGAAACGGGAGTGGAACGTGCTGATGGTGAGCTCGAGCAGCGCCCCGAGGTAGCGAGACATGTGGTCGGTCAGACCGCCATCCATGACGAGGACGCGCAGGATGTTGAGTGCGTGGATGGAAGCGACGGGCATGACGTCGGGGTGCGACGTGTACTGCGTGGCGATCTGCATCAGGCGCTCTACGGTGGCGCGCAGGACGGAAGCGTCGGTCTTGTTGGGCTGCGCGCTGACGAGCGCGAGCACGGCATAGCCAATGCCGGCACTACGGCGCGTGATGCTCAGCTGCGCGCCGGACTGCGCGACCATGTCGAGGAATGCGGTGATCCAGTTCTGCGGAAGATGGGCAATGTCGGGTGCACCCGTCCTGACGATGGCGGCGGCTGCATCGGCATAGGCCGGATAGATGGTGCTGAATGCACCGCGATGACGGACCTGCGTAAGCCATCGATTGAAGCGTTCGCCAACGGCTTCGATGTCTTGCACGCGGCAAATTTTGCGCCATGCGTCGGGCTGGACGGCGGAAGCGGGTTGAAGATCCGAACCTTTCTTTTTGTTGCGCTGCAGAGGAGGCGGGGCGAGGCAAGTGGCGACGACGACGCCGAGCAAAGCGCTCGCCTCCTTCATGCCGCGCCACGAATAGGACAAGATGACCTGATGCTTTGGACCGGCGTTCGACTCTTCCTGGGGCTGCATGAAGGCAAGCTTGGCATCGTCGTCGCTGGCCGCCTGCATGGCCAGGGCGGTCTCGTGCGAGGCC